GCCTTTCTGCCTACATGGGATCTCTGTCTGTTAAATAAATAAATAAAATCTTAAACAAAACAAAATAAAACAAAAAAACAAACGTACAATGGTGCAGCCATTTGGAAGGTAGTCTAGAAGTTCCTCAAACAGTTAATTATAGAGTCACCATATGACCTAGCAATTCTACTCCTATGTATATATTCACGAGAAATGAAAACATGTCCATACAAAAATGTGAACACAAATGTTGATGGTAGCATTACACATAATCATCAAAAAGGTGAAATCAACCCACATGTCCATTAACAGATGCATAGATAAGCCAAAGGTGGTATTCCAAACAATTGAATATTATCTGACCATAAGAAGGAATGAAGTACTAATACATGCTAAAACATGGTTGAACCATCAAAACATTATGCTAAGTGAAATAAAGCAGTCACAAAATACTACCTATTCTATGATTCCATTTATATGAAATATCCAGAATAGGCAAATTATAGAGATAGAAAGTAGATTGATGATTGCTTAGGAATGACAGGAATGGGTCATAATAAAGGCTGTGGAGTTTCTTTTTGAGGTGATCAGAACGTCCTAATAGTGACTATGGTGATGGTTGCACATATGTGTAACTGAAAAAACCACTGAATTGTACACTTTAAATAGGTGAACTGCATGTGATGTGAATTTTATTTCAATAATTTTTTCAAAGGGCAACATGAGGCATTCTTGTGTTGATGAAAATATTTTATATCTTTAAAAATAAAACAAAACCAAAAACCTAGGAATGTGTATGGTATGTATTTTTAACTTTATAAGGCACTGTCAAACTTGATCAAAGTGGCTATTTTGTCTTCCTGCTAGCAATGTATAAAAGTTCCAGTTGTTGCACATTCTTATCAATATTCTGTAGTATATATAGTAGGTGTTATATGCAACTAATGAATCATTGAACACTACATCAAAAAGTAATGGTGTACTATTATATTGGTTAATTGAATTTAAATTTAAAAAAAGAAAAAATAGGATATGGAAAAGGGGAAACTGTCTGTATATTAGACAGAGCAGAAAGTTAATAAAGAGAGCTACTTAAATGTGTGGTGAAGTTGATTTCAAAAAATGGAAATTCCAGGAAATAAATAGAAGGAGCTGATCTAAAAAGAAATTTTAGATATGTCTTGTTATATCATTGTGGTTTTATCATTTATCATTTGTATTTTCTGAATGACTAATGATGTTGAACATCTTTTCACGTACTTTAAAAAATATATTTATTTATTTATTTGACAGACAGAGATCACAAGCAGGCAGAGAGAGAGGAGGAAGCAGGCTCCCTAGTGAGCAGAGAGCCCAATGCGGGGCTCGATCCCAGGACCCTGAGATCATGACCTGAGCCGAAGGCAGAGGCTTAACTCTCATGTACTTATTTTAGTTGCCACCCATGTATCTTTGGTGAAGTGTCCTAAGTTCAAAATAATTAGTTACAAAAGTAATTAAATTTTGATGAAATTTAAGATACAAAAGAACAATAATTAAATTTCACAAAAATTTTAAACTTAAAACCAAAATACCAATAACATTTAAAGGTGAAAAACCATCTGGAGAAAATATTTGCCATGTATGTGAAAGGACAGGGATAAGGGCTCTGATATGGGAAGAGGTGATGAGTTTTTGTTCTTTCTCTTGAGTTACACTATGTGTATATAGCTCTCACTGCACCAACCTAATTTGTAAAGGGTTCTGACTCCTTACATGCGATCTGAAGGCTAAAGCTGGGAGATGCCCAAGATGATCAGGTCAGAACTCTGAGAAGCAAGGAGTCCCAGCCCTGGAAGACACAGGCCCCCAGTGTTCTGCTAGCAAAAGAAGTCAGTGGGCAGAGGTAGTGGGAAGGTGTGGGCATCAGTGGACAGAGTAGGGAGGTCAGCAGGCATTAGGGTAGGGGTGAGGAGAAAAGGACAGTGGCAGAGGGGTCACCAGCAGAAGCACAAAGAATAAGAGAGGGGCAAGTTTTAGCCATTATTTCTCCAAATACTTTTTTCTGTCACCTCCTTTTCCCTTCTCCCCTGCCCTTTGAGGACTTCAATTGCTTGTATTTTGCATTACTTGGCAGTGTCCCTTGGCATATGACACTATTTTTTTTTCTTTCCTCTTATGAATTTTTTTCTGTTTTGGACCATTTTTATTGCTATGGCTTTACACTCACAGATCTTTTCTTCTGCAATGTTTCATCTTTTTCATCTTTAAAAGTTTGTGATTTTCTTATGGTCTTCTATGTTTGCACTCAATTTTTTTAACACAATGCAGAGTGTTATAATAACCATTTTACTGTCCTCTGCTAATTTCAATATCTGTATAAATTTAGGGTCAGTTTTGATAGATCAGTCAAGATTGATTTTTCTCATTTTGGATCATGTCCCTGCTTCGTATGCCTGGTAGTCTTTGTTTGGATGCCAGACATTGTAAACTTCACTTTGTTGGATGTTGCATACTTTAGTATTGTTATAAAGCCATTGTTTTTTTAAGATTTTATTTGTTTATTTGACAGAGAGAGAGAGAGATCACAAGCAGACAGAGAGGCAGGCAGTAAGAGGGAGAAGCGGGCTCCCTGCTGAGCAGAGAGCCCAATTTGGGGCTTGATCCCAGGATCCTGAGATCATGACCTGAGCTGAAGGCAGAGTCTTAACCTACTGAGCCACCCAGGCGCCCCAAAGTCCGTTTAAAAAATTTTTTTTTTTTTAAAGATTTGTCAGAGAGAGAAAACACAAGTGGGGTTGGGGGCAGCAGGCAGAGCAGGCAGAGAAAGGAGCCTCCCCGCTGAGCAAGGAGCCTGATGCAGGACTTGATTCTAGGACCCTGGGATGGTGACCTGAGCCAAAGGAAGCAACTTAACCAACTGAGCCACCCAGGCGTCCCTGTTATAAAGCCTTTTGAAATTTGCTTTGCAATGTAATTAATTAGTTGGAAACCGTTCGGTCCTTTTGGGTCTTGCTTTTATTTTTGTTAGATGATTCTGGAGTAGTAATCTAATTGTTCTTCAATATTTAGGCAATACTTCCTGAGTACTCTAAGCCCGTGAGTTACAAGGTTTTCTAATCTGGTTGGTAGGAATAGGTACTGTTCTTAGCCCTAAGTGATACCTAGGCAATTTTCACTCTAATCCTCTCAGGTGGTTGGTTCTCTGCCTACCCTTGGCGGTCTCATTTCCACACCCTGATCAGTGCTCAGTTAAATATGCACTAATAGGGTAGGGCTCCCTCTACTGAGGGTTGGGTTCTCTATGGAGCTTTTCATTTCTGGTATTCTGTCCTGTGAGTTCTAGCTGCCTTGGTCTCCCTGGGTTCTCAGCTTTATTTCTTCAATTCAAGTAGTTGTAGGGCTCTACCTCAGCTTCTCCTCCCTTTGCTGCAGCCTGGAAACCCTCTGGGTAAGCTGAGACAGTCATAGGGGTCATCTTGTTTGCTTTTTCCCATCTCCCAGGATTATTGTCCTTTGTTTTCTGATATACAGTATCTTTTTTTTTTTTAAAGATTTTATTTATTTATTTGACAGAGATCACAAGGAGGCAGAGAGGCAGGCAGAGAGAGAGAGGAGGAAGCAGGCTCCCTGCTGAGCAGAGATCCCGATGTGGGGCTCGATCCCGGGACCCTGGGATCATGACCAGAGCCGAAGGCAGAGGCTTTAACCCACTGAGCCACCCAGGCACCCCTCTGATATACAGTGTCTTAAGATCATTGTTTCATGTATGTTGACTGGCTTTTTTGGTTGGTTCAGGTAGGAGGGTCAATTTGGTCCCTGTTAGTCCATCTTGGCTGGAAGAAGTCCCTAACATCTTTCTACTTATTTTCCTCTCCTCTCCAAATAATAGTGTCAGGTTGCTCAGTTGTTGGTCATCTGACTCTTAATCTTGGCTCAGGTCCTGATCTAAGGGTTTTGAGTTCAGGCCCTATGCTGGTTTCTGAGCTGGGCGTGAAGCCAACTTAAAAAACAAACAAACAAAACCCCCACAAATAAAGTGAAAAACACTGATTGTTAGTTTTCTTCAAGGAGGCATTTGTTAAGCTCCAGGACTTTGCCTGTGTGATTCTGGTTAGTCTTCACAACCATACAGGTTTTCTTAACCTCATCTCCATTTGACAGCTGAAAAGCAGGCCCAGATTTTTGCTGGCTTGGACTCTGGACAAGTCTGTCAGTCCCAAGGCCGTGTGATCCTGTGGCTCCACAAAGTTCTCCATGCCTTGCTACAGAATTGCCAGGGAAGCTGCCTGACCTGCATAGCATCCCTGGCTCCTCATTCTTTAAAGAAAAGCTCATACTTGCAGCCTGGCTTTTGAGGTGTTCATACCCACATGCACTCTGTGCTCTGGCTTTGTCAGCCATGCATGTATGCCCGTGTCTCATCCAGCTACTTGATATGAATGAGAAGGCAGTAAGAAGGTAGGAAAGCATCCAGAGATGGGATATCAGTGGCCAGAGTCACCCATGTCTTCTACTAATTCCAAATCCATGCCTCTTCCACGAGACTCAGGATCCCACACAGCTGGCAGGAAGGCAACAGTGAGATGCATAACACAGAGGTAAAGGTGCTCCATTCTCACCATGTTTGAAAATTCTGTGATTCTAGCTATTTCTTCTCCTGAAGGTCAGCTTCTGGACAACTTTCTAGGAAAATCACAGCTTTCAGATAATTCTTCGGAAAACTCAAGTCTGTATTTACTGATTTCCTTCCATGAAATTGGAAAGCCAGCTATAGCCCTTGGTGCCTAGCACAGCCAGAAGGACCTTGGAAGGAGACTCGTGTGAGGTGGCCTGCCAGCTGCAGAAGCCTCAGATGCTTCATAGTCAAGAAAGTGACCTCTGTGCTGGGAAATGAATTTCTGCATGGAGAAGTTGGGGCCATTAGAGGACATCAAAGATTCCTTCCGGTTCTGATGTTTCATAACTACCCATTTCTGGAGAGGGATCAATAGCAGGGGAGGAAGGTGGAAGTTAGAAGGAAAAGGCAGGGGAAGCCAGGATGATTTGGTATCCAATGCGTGTTCATTTATTTTACACTTACAAAAGAAATCGCCCACCCCTCTGCCCCATTCCCCAAAAAAAAACAGTCTCTTTTTACAAACATTTAAAAATTAAAACCAAATGAAGATAGACAAGTTAATTTCAGTACAATTATTTTTCAATGTAGCTGTCATAATTAGAGTTTAAATTTCCTACAAGTGACCAATGTCCAAGTGACTTATAGGGAAATCCTGATTATTGGCCAAAAGGAAAATTCCATATTACAAGTTAGCAAATTCTAGTACAAAAATAGTCCGTGTTGGAATAGCCTTTCCTTTTACATAGGTCTCAGGTCAGTCTACTGACTGCATAATACACTAACATTTCAGGGTTCTCTCTTTCACAAATGGCTCATTCGTCATAGCTGAAGCAGCACGATGCCTGCAGTGGCAGGGACTAGTGTCCACCTTGGGACCGTGCTGGAAACGGCAGGCCTGGGAGTGCCTCACTGACCCCAGGGCAGCAGGGCAGGGCCCCAGCCCCAGCTCCACACAGGGGTCCTGGAGGGAGGGATGAGTGGCAGGCAGAGCTGCCCCCTTTTGAGGGAGCAACAGGCCCAGGATATAGGGGAAGTCCGCCCAGGTAGCTGGGCCAGCGCTGGCACAGGACAGCCCACCTCTTGCCAGTGTCTCCTCGTCCTTCTGTAGTCTGACGAGGTGAGAGGGGGCCCTGTGCATTGTCAGCAGCGTGAGGGTGGCCTTGCCCTTGCTGCAGCCAGGGAAGGTCTGGGCGGGCTACTTGTCCCTCAGGATGTCGAGCTGCTCCTGACACTCGGTAAAGAGGCGCTGAAAGCGGAGATTCTGCCCGATGACTGGCAGCAGCTCCTTCAGCAGCTCCCTCTTCCGCAGACCCTGTGGACATGAAGAATGACAGTTGAGTGCAAGTGTCAGTGAGGAGACCTGGATGGTGCTGGGTTTCCCTGGCCTGGCAGAGACCCCGTGTCTGCCCATCTGACCCCCAGACACCCCCTGGAGAAAACAGAGATGGATGAGAACAATTTCTCTACATGCTGGGAAGCTCCAGGCAAGCTAAAAGTCTGAGCTGGAGCATACAAGTGTGGCAGGGAGCAGGGGAGAGACACAGTGCAAGGTTACAGCAAAGAAAACCAGGGTAGGTTCTGCTCCTCTGTGTCCCCTAAGTCTGCTCGCACAGTCACTGCTGGCCTTCAACTGCACTGATTAGTGGCTATAGTAGCTTAGCATTCCAGAGCAGGATGGGAGTAGGATATTAGGGTAAAAGGGCATGTGGATGGCCATCCAGGAGGAGTTGTTCCCTAATGTGAATGCTCTCTGGGGGCCTGAGGTCAAGTCTAGGGGTGAAGAGGCACCTGGGAGGCAGTGGCTGGCCTTGGTTTTATAATCCTGGGGCCTCTGCCCTTGGGCCTTGCCCAGGGCTCTTTCATGCCTGGGTATACTGGTACCATGGTCTGCCTGGGCTCTTTTGCAATATGCACTGCAAGGAGGGGTCTCCAATGCACAGAACCCTGAGGAGCACAGCCACCGCAAAGAAAAAAAACACCAAACGATAACTCTGACCACTGAAAGAGAAGGAAGGCCCAGGATGTTAAAATAAGAATGGCAGAAAGACAAGGAATTATAGAAAAGAACCGAGTGTAGATATTAAGTTTGAGCAACACAATGGTTGAAGGGATGGGATCTGCAGAAGAATGGCCACTGCTGAAGACCAAGTCAGAGTGGAGTCAGATGGAGGACCAGACCATGCTTGAGAAGGGAGGTACACAGAGAGGAAAATGCAAGAGGAGAAACCATACAGGAAAAGTTAAGGCAGATGGACGATGACAGAAGGGACCAATATCTATATAATGGGTCCCAAAGGAGAGAGAGAAAAAAGAAAGAAGGAAATATTTAAGGAAATAATACAGGTAGATTTCACGAAACTAAAGAAAGTCAAATGGCCTTAGGTTGAAAGCCTCCCTGAGTGCTGATCATGTAAGATATGGAAACAAAATAAAGGCCATATATGAAAAGCCCAAAGCTAACATCATACTCAGTGAAAACCTGGGAGCTTTTCCTCTAAGATCAGGAATAAGACAAGGGTGCCCACTCTCACTGCTTTTTTTTTTCAACATAGTACTGGGAGTCCTAGCCACAGCAGTCAGATAAGAAAAAGAAATAGGAATCTAAATTGGTAAGGAGTAAGTAACATTCACTATTTGCAGATGACATGATACTACTATACCATACTATATAGAAAACCCTAAAGGACTCTAAAAAACTACTAGATAAATGAATAAATGAATTCAGCTAAATCACAGGATACAAAGTTAGTATACAGAAATCTGTTGCATTTCTTCATACTAATAATGAAATAGCAGAAGAGAAATTAAGAAAACAATCCCATTTATAATTGCACCAAGGGTAATAAAATACCTAGGAATAAACCTAACCAAGGAGGTGAAACTATACTCCAAAAACTATAAAACACTGATGAAAGAAATTAAAGATGACACAAATAAATGGAAAGATATTCCATGGTCATGGGTTAGAACAGCCAATATTGTGAAAGTATCTGTATCACCCAAGCAATCTACAGACTTAATGCAATCTACTTACCAAAATACCAACAACATTTTTCATAGAACTAGGAAAAAAAAAGTAAGATATGTAAAAACGGATATCTAGACATGTAGGATGAAATATATAGAATTTGAGAGTATCGAAGATAGAAAAATTCTGAAAGTTTCTAAAAAACAAGATCATATCACCTACAAAAAAAGAGAGACCAAGGTACACAATGAAGTAATATTTTTAATATAATGGAAAAAAACCTCACAACCTAAACTTTTTTACCCAGTTATTCATACAATAGAGTATAATATAAAATATTAAAAAAATATTCTTGGGCTTTTAAGACTTCAAGAGGCTTGCTACAAGAAAGATCCACCATGAAAATCTTTTAGAGGAAATACTCAAAGTAAGAAGAGATAAATCTAGATAATGCTACAAGAGATATGAAAAGAAATGTGGATAACTCAGGCTAAAGTTTATGTTGGCCTTGAGAAAACCAAGAAAACAAAGAATGTGGATGGTTTGAGCTTGGTGATTAAAAAAGAAAAATCTGTCAGACTGGATAACATAAAAGTCAGCTATCTGATGTTAGTAAGAAATATAGAAACATGGATGAAGAAGGGTTAAAAATTAAAGACAGAAAGATATGTTAGTAAAGAATGAAAAGAGAGCTAGTATTTTTAAATTACCAAAGTAGATTTTGTTACAAAAACATCACTGGGGAAAGAGCCAGTCAAAAGAAAGAGACAAAACTACCCTCAGGGAGATTTTAATACACATTCAACTAGTGATGGGTCATGGAAAGGCAAAAATCTGCAGATTCAGGTAATCCGAACTGACCAGTTAGTAAACATGACTAAATGGATATGTGTAAAATGAAAACAAATGGTCTTTGGCACATGTGGTCATATAAAAAATTGCTCTAAAAGCAAACCTCAACAAAATAGCAGGTATCATGTACACAGCAGACTGGCATAGACAAATACAGCCTATTATATATTTTTGTAAATAGTTTTATCAAAATGTAGCCACCCCTGCCTATTTGTTGGTATATTACACTACAACAGCAGAGTGGAGTAGTTGCAGCAGAGACTGTATAGCTTTGCAAAGCCTGAAATATTAACTCTCTTCCCTGACAGAAAAAGTTTGCCAACTCCTGATATAAATCATCTTCTCTAACCAAAATACAATTGAGTAGAACTCATAACTGATTAATCGATTAAGTTAACTTAGTTAACTGATATTTAAAAATGATTTACAAGTAAATGGTAATAAAAACACTAACTGTTGGGGCGCCTGGGTGGCTCAGGGGGTTAAAGCCTCTGCTTTCGGCTCAGGTCGTGATCCCGGCGTCCTGGGATCGAGCCCCACATCGGGCTCTCTGCTCAGTGGGGAGCCTGCTTCCTCTCTCTCTCTCTCTCTCTCTCTCTCCCTATGATCTCTCTCTGTCAAATAAATAAATAAAATCTTTAAAAAAAAAAAAACAAAAAACACTAACTGTTGCAAAACTGTTGTAGAAATGCCACAGAGGTGGGGCTTTATAAGGATACTTACAAACATAAAACATCTTCTATTAGAGAACATAAAAGAATGAAAACCAATGACCTGAGTCTGACCTAAGGTGGAAAAGAAGGGAGGAAGGTAAACAGGGAGGGAGGGAAGGAAAGAAGGAGACATCAGAAAAAAATATTTAAAAAATAAGCCTCATGACTGGCTGAGTAGTGAATCCAGTCTGCCAAGACTGGGAAAGGTGGCCATTTTTTCAAATGCCCAATATTCAACAAAAGACCATGGAACATACAAAGAAACAGAGAAACATGGAAATGGCTGGCTATGGTATTGGCCCATTCAAAATCACAAAATAAACATCCAGAAAACTGACCCTAAAGAAACATAGGCCTAGAACTTATGTGACAAAGACATTAAAACAATTGTCTTAAATATTCTCAAAGAGAACATGAACAGATGGACATATCAGGAAAATGGTATGTGAATAGAATGACAGTATCAACAAAGAGGTAGAAATTATAAAAAAGAACCAAACCAAAATTCTAGAACTTAAAAACATAGTAACTAAATAGAAAAATTCACTCAAGTGGTTCAACAGTAGACATGAACAGACAAAGAATCAATGAACTTGAAAATGAAGAAAAATGAAAATAGTCTAAGGGACTTTTAGGACACCATCAAGCACACCAATATATGCATTATGTAAGTCCCAAAAGAATAATAGAAAGAGAAAGGAGAAAAGAGCTTATTTGGAGAATAATGGCTGAAAAGTTCCCAGGGTTGAGGAAAAACATGGATTTACAAATCCAAGCTCAACAAATACTCCATGTAGGAAAACCCCAAAGGAACCCATACCATGACAGATTTTACTTGAACTATGGAACATCAAAGATAAAGAGACAATCTAGAAAGCAGATACTTGGCTCATTGTGTAAAAAGCATACTCAATAAGCATATTTCTCAGCAGGAACACTGAAGGCCAGAGGGAAGTGGGATGACATATTTAAGGTGCTAAAAGAAAAACTGACATCTGAGAATACCATAGTCAGTGAAACTACTCTTGAAAAATAAGGGGAAAACAAACACATTTCCAGATAAATGAAAACTGATGGAATTCATTACTATTAGATCTACCCTACAAGAAATGCTAAACGGAGTCCAAGTTGAAATGAAAGGATACTAGACAATAAAACAGAAAGTTCTCTGGTAAAAGTAAAAGGACGGACAAATAAAATAACCCATATTTTGTAATTTTATTTGGTAATTCCATTTTTTTTATTCTATAAGATTTAAAAGACAAAAGCATAAGAAACTATAAGTCTATGTTAAAGGCTACAGAATATATAAAGATATAATTTGTGACTTCAATAACAAAGTGGGTGGAGTGGAACTGTAAGGGAGTGGGCAATGTTTCTGCATACAATTGAAATTAAATTGTTATTAGTTTAAAATAGATTGTTATAACTTCAGAATGTTTTTGTTATCCCTATAGTTACTAAAAAGAAAATATCTATAAAACATACATAAATGGAAAAGAAGAGAATAAAAACATGTCACTAAAAAAATCAACTAAAATGCAAAGTAAAATAGTAAAGGAGGAAATGAGGAACAAAAACTATAAAACATACAGAAAATAAATAACAAAATGGCAGTATTAAGCATCTGTCAGTAATTATTATTTTTTGCCAGTAATAATAATAATAATTATTATTATTATTGAGAGAGAGAGAGGAAAAGCAAAAGGAGAGGGACAGAAAGAGAATTTTAAGCAGGCTACATGCTTGGTGTGGAGCCTGACATAGGACTCAATCTCC